AGTATACGATACGGACTTCACTCCTCTCCTCTACTTCTCTCTCTCTCTCCTCTTCTCTTCCTCTCCTCTCCTACTCTACGTACGAGTAGAAGAAGAGAAGAGAAGAGAAGAGAAGAGAAGAGAGGAGAGGGGGGGATTAGGTTAGGTTAGAAAATTTTTCCTTTTTCTTTGAGAGAAGGAACTCTAAGAAGGAATCTAATGACTCATGACAGATAGTCACAGAGGATCCATTCCGAAAGACTGGACCTACATTCGCATGGTTTACCCCTCTAATAGAAGCATTGAAGCTCAACTTTGATGGCAACACCAAAGAAAGTTCTAGGTCCCCAGTTTCATCGGTGTAACAAAAATGAGGAGATCGTCAAGGTTTTTGCTGATTGGCCATGAACAAAAAGACTCAACCCAAAAGCATGGACCCTTGGGGATTCATTATCAAGGGCAAGACTCTTTATGTCATTAGGTAATTTAGGCAGGGGAATCAAGCAACAGAAGATTAATTTAAAAGAAATCAAGGATTTGACAAGTGATGCAAAGGACACTGCATGAACCACATATTAAGGGAAGCCAATTTATGGGTGGAAGTTTTTTTATTTGGCACTGGACTGGACACAAGAGGTTTTGGATTTGTAGGAGTGCAGGACTCCATCAGCGCATGGTCTCTCCCATTAGTTGTATCTTTCTCTCACCTTAACTAAATTATCAATTAAGAAATGAAAAATAAATCATCGGTGAATTAATACATGTAACCAAAAAAAAAGGTAAAACATAGTGGTGTACATTCTTGTCGATGTATCCATAAAACTGTAAATCAGGCAACCAGAGGGTGTGTCTAATGAGGCACCACAAGCATATCCAAGAGACCAAAACATGAAAATCAATTTTTACCCCAAAAACGTAGCTTATCAAAAAATAAAGGAAAAACAATTCATCTATACGATGTCCTTCTTTATAGCATCATGGAAGAAAATTCAACCAATATAAATAAGGGAAAAAGACAAAAAAAACCTCTCTAAATTTAAAATCCCAAATATACCCCCTAGTACCATAAATATCCCATGAAAACCCCCAAGTTAAACAAAAAAAGGCGTTTAACCCCTTCTTACCTTTTTCACTGTTTAAATTACAGAATTTACCCTTCATATTTTTTCTAATAACCTCATAAACATCAAGTTTGAGATGCCTATTTTAATTTACTTGTGAGGTTCACAAGATGAGAGAGAGATAAGTATTCAGGGAAGGTTGCTAGAGAGAGAGAGGGAGGAAGAGGTCCATGGAAAAGGAAGAAAAAGAAAGAGAAGGAGAACTTTTCCAGGATTTAGATAACAGGGTGAATAGTAAAAAAGAAGGGTAAACTATGTAATTTGGATAATGAAAAAAGTAAGGAGGGGGTTAAACATCTTTTTTTATTTAACTTGGCGAGTTCCATGAGATGTTCACAGGACCAGGGGGTATTTTGGATTATAATTTTAGAGAGTGGGGTTTACGACTTTCCCTATAAATAAGCTTCCTCATATAAACCAGATAATAAGTAGAGAGGCATTTTGTACAAAAGAACAAGTTCAATGCACTACCAGACAGCAATATAAGCAAACACAAATTTAAACATCCTAACCTCTTTTGAGAGAGGGGGCTTAGTAATTGCATAGTACTCGAAGAAAATCTGCAAGGTCGAGGGATCCTCTAAGAATGGCCTCCAAGAAGATGGAATCTGTCAGATGGCCAAAAAGTAAGAACATTCTACAATCACCCAACAAATTCCTCACAATTGAAACAGAAATTGTATATTAGGAAAGAAAAGAAGTCATTGGAAGGAAAATTACACAAAAAGAAGCTGGTACCTGCACAGTACCAAACTCATCTGAACTCTCATCTAAGGACGACCCAACGAAATCAAAGGACAAGCATTTTAATGCCAGAGAAAGTGCTGACTCTCTTAACCTGTTCTCAACTGCATATTATGTGGAACGAATGGAATAAAAGCCAGGCAAGTAAATAATTAAAATAATCAGAATGGAGAATCCAGAATGCAGCAATGCAGGATTTTTTTCCACAAGAACAAAACATTCTTCTCAGTAAAGCAGTACCGTCATTTTTAAGCTGACGTAATGAAGTCAAAGATATCTGGAAAATTTGAAATAGCGACTGATCTCTGAAAGAACAAGCAACTCTTCGGTGATGCGTCAAAGGAAAACCTGGATTAGGCTGTAATTCAAGAACAATGAAGCAGGTGAGGAAGCTCAATATGAAGAAAATTCTGATTCTTATTTTTCTTTTTTGAAGAATGAAAAAACTTCCGATATTAAGGGTCGAAGTTCAAATGGAGTATGGAATAATATAAAACCAAAATCATCAAATATATTTTAAAACTTGTTAAAAAAAAAGAAAAAAGAGGCAAAGATTCGAGTTAGTTTCTTACTACATGATGGAAAAGAAGTGCATCAACAGACTGCAAAAACAAAAGCCCTTTCTCCAAACCAAAACTGAAACATGAAACACTAGCTAAGAGAAAAAGTAATATCTAGCGCGCACGTGGTTTTCTTCGCAGCAAGCGCACGCACTATGTTTTCTTCGCAGCTAGCACGCCCTGTCGTGTTCTCGCTCGCTTCCCTCCTACTTACTAACAAGAATCTTCTGGGTACCTCCTCTTCCTTGACTTGCTGAAGTACTCAAACAATTTCAATGGAAAATGACCAAAACTTCAACTCCAATGATTCCATGATTAAAAGCAATATAGCTCGGTTAGATATCAGTAGCCAAGTGCTCATTGCAACATGAAAACTAAAATTGTTCCTAAAATAGAGGGCATGGTGCCCAAGGGTCTGAACTTGCAAAGCCTTGGGATTCGCAACCATTCATCACAAACGAAGACATGCCTCCCGGAAGTTAAACAGGATCTTTAACATATCAACATATAGAAGTCTCAGTGCTTATGGAAGTACTATACAAAGGGGCATGTTGGCAGTTCCAATCTCACCATTGATGGTTCATTTGGTCGCAAGAGATAAAGATCGTCACAGAATACCACCAAGGCACAAGGTTTCAATTACTATTCAAAAACTATTATCAAAAACATTCAAGGATTAAGAATGGATGCTGAATTCAAAGCTTAGTTGAGTGTCAGGCAGAGTATTAAGAGAAATGAAAATACTAATCATCTTCCAACATTGTTGTATATGCTATCAAACATGTATGCTTCATGCAGGGGGATGGAGAGACCATGGATCATATTTTGGCTAGAGATGGTCGATGTATATTTTTGTACTTGTTCCTTGGAGTTTGTCCACCAGAAACTGAAAAGCATGTTCTCAGTTTCCAAGGCATTTCAACCCAACTAAAAGGGAACTGAGGGGGTGTAATGGTCATTTCTTAACTGCTCTGTAGACCATTATTGCTCCTCTTCTACATTTGAGCCATTTATCAAATCTTTTCCTGCTATGTTAATATACTTTCGCAATTTTTAAGCTCAAGTACCAAAAGTGGTAATAGTCTTCAGTCATAATTCTCTTTTTTTCTCATTTTGACAGGTGGGTCACAGTTTCCTCTTTTTTCTTTTGGTCAGTGGATCACAATTTCCCATGCTAAAGATTAAAGGATCAGCTGCATGTTTAGAACAAGGAGATGCACCACAATCATGATGGTATTCTGATGCTATAGCAAAGCCGAAACCCCAAAGTTGTATGTTTAGGAAACGAGTGGCGCCACCATTATGACCTTCTCAAGAATGCCGCACTGTGATGGTAGCGAGGTCAAAAACCACAAATCTACTGCCTTGCCTTTGCATATATTTCTCTCTATGAGATTTAGCCAATGTGATCTCTTGGGTTAGGCTATAAAGGAGTCCATGTTTTCATGGTGGTTTGCACGCATTTTCAGCAAGACTCATGAGAGAAGCTCCATTTCAAGAGTCAATTTTTGCATATGTAAGGAAAGAATATATTTAACTCACTAATTTGTCAGCAAGAGAAGGAATCCTTTGATCCAACCTCCATGTCTTCCCTTCCCCTTCGCATGGAGAGGGAGAGGGAGAGGGAGCAGCAGATCATTGCTTGCCAGAAGCCCTAAAATTGGGAGCATAACAGGAATATCCATTTAATAAATTTTTAAATATAAGATGAACCTATAAAAACATCTAAAGGATTTTCTTTGCTCAAGTTATCTACCAAATTTGGGTTAGATGACAATGTTGCCCCCATCTAAAACCAAAAGTTTACCTGCTGGTTCATTTCATTAAGTCCGGTAGTGGGGACCGTCAAAGGAGAGTGCTCTTCCTTAAGATCATTAGTGAAAAGGGTTCCCAAGAAGGCAAGGATCTTGTTCCCAAGAGAATGGAAACATGCTGGAAGCAGGTTCCCACTTCCAAACTAAGGACTGTGTTTCGGGAGCGATACTGCACCTTTGATGAAACATCCAAATAACTATGTACTGGAACCGTCCCCAAATTCAATTTTGTATATCTCAGCGTTTTAAAAATCGGCGACCCGATCCAGACTCGGGCGATTCGGATCGGGTATCGATGGCACCGTCCCAAATCCACTAATAAAATGCGATCCGGACGATTTGCTACTGAAAATCGGATTGATGACATCATGACTTGGCGATTCGCTACAGTGTGACATTATGGCAGGCAAGCCGCTACAGAGAACCAGAATTGTTGAACAATTTTGTTATAAAAGACGTAAGGGTGGGCTCACCAACTACACTGATGTCACGCTCTCCTCACCCTATGCATAAGGTCATGGCTTACCTCATTGGCATCGTGTTTTACTCTGGGGGTGGACTTCACACATTATATAGTAACTCTTTCTCCCACAATCCATCGATGTGGGATATATGCAACTTCAAAGTGAGTGTTTTCATTAACTCTCTCTCTCTCTCTCTCTCTCTCTTGTTTCTACATTGGTGATTTAAACAATTTAGCAATATAGGCATGTAAGTAATAATGCTTGCTTATGTTGGTCTTTAATCACAAGTAAATCATAAATTACAAAAAGAGCGAAAAAGATGGAATAAAAAATTAATATTTATTACATTGGTAGGATCTATACCGAGTTTAACATAGCTATTGAGAACTTTAATCTGACCTATTCCACAAAAAAAAATAAAAATAAAGAATTATTTTTCAATTGTTTGTTTCTATTTTATTTTTTAAATTCTCACATTTTATCGAAGTATACTAGCATCCCAAATATTGCTTACAAAATCTACTAGCAATCTAAAGTATTTTTGAACTAATTATGTTTATTATAAAAATATAAAAGCAATTCAACATATACATGCAAGAGCCATCTTTTTTTTGGAATCACGTTAAGTATAATATTCTAATTAATAATTATACTTATTATATTGATAACCAAATCTTATATATTATTTATCAATATATTTATGTTATAAATTATATAATATATTATTCTTTGCTATAGTTGTAAATTAGATGATATTATAAGACAAATTTCAAATATATTCTTATTTGTATAGTAAAATGCTTATAAAATATAAACCAATAATTTCAATTTCAATGTATAATATTATAGTTAGTTAGCCTTAACAGAGACCAAACAACCGGAGCCTAACCTCCCGTTCATCCGCAGTGTGTGGGGTAGAAGACCCTGCCAATGGGTTACTTTACTGGTAGACGGGGCTTCAGGAAGCACTTGGGTGCTCTGGAACCCAACTGAGTACCATCTTGATTCCTCCCACATGGGAGCCTTCTCTATAACAGTCCTCCTCTCTAGGGTCTCAGATGGCTTTCCTTTCAAATTCTCTGCTATTTACGGGCCCAACTCTGTTTCCCTCCGTCCACGTCTCTAGTTTGTACTTGAACAAGTCACCTCTTTAACCCACTCTGCGTGGTGTTTGGGCGATGATTTCAATATCACCATGTGGTCCTTTGAAAGGAATCTCAATCCAAACATCTCACAAGGAATGCTCGACTTCTCTGACTTCGTCTCTCGCCTTGAACTTTTAGACATTCCTCTCCAAGGGAATGGTTTTACTTGGTCGAACCATTCAGCTCAACCTTCCCTTGCTAAGCTGGACCGTTTTCTACTTTCTCTGGATTGGGAGGCTGCCTTCACTGGCTCCCATGCCCTCACTCTACCTAAACCCACCTCGGACCATTGCCCCATCCTCCTGAACACCCAGGCCATTCGAAGGGGCCCGAAACCTTTTCGTTTCAAACTGGCCTGGCTAGTGAACATTCCCTTTCCCACCTTTTCCCTAGTTGGTGGTCCTCTTTCTCATCCTAAGTAATGGGTAGAGCAGGTTTTAAGCTTCAATCCAAACTCCAACTCAAAAAATCTCTCAAAATTTGGTGAAAATCTCTCAAAATTTGTTGCAAATCTGTACCAGGTAACTACTCCCAATCAAAAAACTCCCTGCTCAATTCTATCCAAGAGCTCGATGGGGTAGAAGAGTCCAGACCCCTCACTGGTACAGAAGCGAACCTTAGAACACAATACAAGCTGGACTAGTTTTCTACTCTTAAGAAAGAAGAACTCTTCTGGTACCAACGATCTAGAATTAAGTGGCTTAAAACAGGGGACCTAAACATAGCTTTCTTTCACCGAATAGCAAATTGCCGTAGAAGAGACAATACGATTTCCACCATCAAAGTGGACAATCGTTTTTTGACCCAGCCCGATGAAATAGAATCTGCCATCCTTGTTTACTTCAAGTCCCTCTACACTGCCCCTCTGGACCTCAGACCTAGAATGACTACCTTAGACTTCTTAACTCTTCCTGCTCAGTGGCCACAGTGGTTGGAACGACCTTTCTCTCAAGAGGAAATCGCCTGTGTTATTGACCAACTTGTCAAACACAAAGCTCCAGGGCCGGACGACTTCCCAGTTGGCCCCTTCAAATCCTTCCAGCATGTCTTTTTACCTGATTTCAGTAGCTTCTTCGAAGAATTCTACCATAGAAGGATCCTCAACTCAGCAATAAACGCTACCTTTATTACTATTGTTCCCAAAATTGAAGGGGCAGAGGAGCTCAAAGACTTTCGCCCCATTAACTTGCTAAATTCCTCATACAAAATTCTGGCGAAGGCTTTAACCTCAAGACTTAAGCTCGTCCTCCCTCTGATCATCTCTCCGTCTTCATCCAAGACAGGCAGATTCTGGATGGGGAAATGATTGCGCATGAGTGTCTCCACTCAAGGCACTTATCCAAGAAGCCAGGACTAATTTTGAAAATCGACTGGG